TGGGCACTTAGGCCGCCGGGGGGCTGCTTTCTAAAGAAACCCTTGGCCTTTCGTCTCCAGGACAAGCCCCAGAAAACATGCTCACTCAAGCTCCGAGGAGGGTGCTTCGGGGAGGGAAGGCCACGGGAGACGTCACCGGCAGTGGGAAGCAGGGTGGGCAGCACAGCCCAGACGTAGACGGAAGAGCGTCTTGCCGGCAGGTCGCCTTTAGGACGGGGTGAGTGTTCCGACATCCCTCGTGTCAGTACCTGACCTTCGCCTGACTGATCAGGCGTATCAGACCCGGCCATCTTGTGGGTTGGAAGGTAGCACTACCAGTACAATAAATCACAGAAACAATAGGGAGAGACCCCAAGCACGAGACATTCTTTTCTTTTTTTTGAGTCGGAGTCTCCCTCTGTCGCCCAGACTGGAGTGCAGTGGCCACTCCCGGCCCCCACAGCCTCGACCTGCTGGGCTCCGGCCGACCTTCCACCTCAGCCTTCCGAGTAGCTGGAACTACAGGCGCGCGCTACCATGCCCGGCTCATTTTTTATTTTTATTGTAGAGATGAGGTCTCGCCAAGTTGCCCAGGCAGGTCTCGTACCCGCGGGCTCAGGCAGTTCACTCACCTCGGCCTTCCAAAGTGTGGGATAACAGGCTGAGCCACCAAGCCTGGCCTCTTTTCTTTTAAAGCCCAAATCTAGACGGGCAGTCACTTCCATTCCTTAGAAGGTCCTTGTGACCTTAAAAGGTGGAAAGGTGGTCATTAAAACACGTGACCAAATACCTACCACTCTGTGCCCTTAGCTCATGGAATGGTTTGCTTAATCATCATGGCAAATTGTCTAAAGCTTCTTGTCAAAGGCAGACACTTGTCCTCTCTCTTCACGCACCCACACTCTCCCTTGGTTGTTTCTTTTCTTCCTAATAAACTGTGTCTTAAACTACACTTTAGCCTTACTCTGCAATTCTTTGGTGTAGCGCTGCCAAGAATCCATAAAGCAATTACACCACATACCGCCACATATCCTCTTGACATTTTAAGTCCGTGCGCACAGAGGAAACGTCCTCCCTGGTGGCGACGGACCCGAGAGACCCTGTTCCCCCACCCTTCCTGCCCCATCCTCCCCTCCCACGCCTTGCATCCGTGGCCGGGGGCTCCAGGGTCAGCTCACCTGGCCCTGACTCGCTGCGCATCCCAGCAGTGGTGGAAGGGGGCCGTGTCGGAAAGGGACACGGTCTCCTTTACTGCAGGTGCGATACTTTTATTCTTCATTGGTGTCTAAGAGTTGTACAATGTGTGGATGTTTCCATGCCTGTATACATTGTGCAATGACCAAATGCGTCTGAGCTGTGGAGTCACCTCGACTTGCCGGAAGCCCCGAATCTGACTTTCATAACTGAGGGGTGGAGAGGTAGACAAGTTATATGTCCCCCCTCCTTCATTTCCTCCCCTGCAAAGTAGAAAGATGATGCCTGCATTATGGGCCTTCCATGGGACTTGAATAAGGCATAGCGAGTGCCTGGCTCGCTGCAAACGTTCAGCCATGCAGCGCAAGAGGCCGCAGTATGGAGATGGGCTCAAAAGCCTGCACAGGAGCTGGGCTGGATGTGAGAGGACACTCCCGACTTCCTCCGGGGAGACTTCCTTCCTGCCACCCTTCACCCGCTCACCTGAACTCCTCCCAGAATAGAAACTTGACCCAGTGTAGATAATGCCAGACTCCCAAAGACTCCGAAAGGCAGACACTGTGAATACTGTTGACATGACAGCATAGGACTTAGACTGTTGCAGAAACTTAGTTGCTAAAGTGGCAGTAGGGTTTGAGAGGATTGACTCCAACTTGGAAAGAATCTCTACTGTGGGTGGAATGCTGTCAAACAGAATCACGTGCTACGGAGACTTCGCTCTTGAAATAAAGCCTCGATCGATATGGCAATTTTTATCATTGTCGTGTTCTAAGAAATTGTCACAGCCACTCCAAGTGTCAGCAGCCACTGCTCTCACCAGTCAGCAGCCATCAACATCGAGGCAAGACCCTCCACAAGTTAAAAGATCATGGCTCAGATAATAACATTTTTAACAATAAAGCATTATTAAGTTAAGGTTAAAAAAACGTTATTTTTTAGACATAATGCTCTTGCACAGTTAATAGACTACAGTATAGTGTAAACATAACCTTTCACGCACTGGAAAACTCAAAAATTTGTGTCACTCACTTTATTGAGCTGAACTGAAGAATATCTGGAACTGAACTGAGAATATCTCTGAGGTATGCCTTTAAATCATAATAAAGGAGAAATTTAAAAATAAAAAAATACTTCTTCACACATTTCCATACAGATTCATGTACAAAACTATATAAACTATATAATTTCTTGGGAAAATACACATTACTGCAAATGACCCCAAAAAGGTAAGGGCCAAAAGCCTTAAAAGACAATTTCTACAGCAGAAATGGCCTTAAGAAGGAAACAACCTATGTGAGGCCAATGGGCACAGATTGTTTCGCGGAGACGTTCTCCAAACCTTTAGGGCCACGTAGTCCCACCATGTATCCGTTGGTTTGGGGCCTAGAAAAGGAAGGAAAACATCATGCTTCTCTTTTTAGGAGGAAGTAGAACAATATTGTCCTGAATCTGATAAAGGCAATAGCCTAAAAGATTAGCCAATGTCACTAATGTAATATAAATTAATGCAGCAACCCGAAATAAACTATTTCTGAGCAGACTGCAAAATCACAATTAAAATATAATGCACATGGCCAAATGGGATTTATTCTAGGAATACAAGGCTTAATACTAGGAAATATTAAAAGAATTCTGAAAGTTTCTGTTAGGGACGGGGGGTACAGAGGGGGCACGGCACCACCAGAGCCAGCACGCCGGAGGTGCACGCCGGTAACCAGAGATCCGAGTAACACAAAGATTCACAACTCAAAGAGATGACGAAAGAAAAGATTTTTTAAAGAAAGAGATCACTTCCCACAGACAGGAAGAGGGCCAGCACTCTAAGATGAGTGTGGCCATCCGGGGTGCAAACCCGATGCCACATGAAAGATGCAAAGAATTGCACAGAAGTTAGGTTAGAAAACAGTGTGTTTAAAGTAAATTAGAGAGAGAAAAAAGAAGATTCACCTCCCCAAGATGCAGGAGGGGGCCAAAGCCAGGAAGTATGGCGACGGCCATCGCTCAAAGAGCACATGGCCACACCAGAGTCTAGCAAGGCCATGGCAAACGGCTGCTGGTGGCGGAGTCCTTCTAGCCGTTCCCCTTGATGGGGGAGGATCATTAAGGTGATTGGGTAGGGGTCTGCTCCACGTCATCACAAGGGGGCGGGCAAGCGCGGGTACTGACATCCGGTGATGGACAGCATGCAGATGGGTGGGTCAGTCGCACGATTTCTGCCCGTGGTGGGGTCTGTCTGTGTCATGTAGGTCACAAGGGCTGATTCGGTTAACTTGACCCCAGTGGGATTTCTCCTGCAGGAGACTTGCTAGACATTTGCAATCCACAAACACCTTAACCAAAGGGGGTCGTGTTATCATTTTTATGGTTTTGGCCAGCCAAAGGGTGATCTTTGACCTTCTGCCTTGACAAGGAAGCTGAAGGTTTACTAGAGATTATTGTGCTAAACCATGAACTGAAAGGTTGAACTGTCCTGGTCTTGCATCTGAGGGAGATTTGCTGAGGGGTGGGACAGGCTGCCACTTGGCCTGCAGTAGAATGTCTGAAAGCTTTCTGATGCCTATGCTGAGGCAAAAAGACTAAACTAAGAATAAGTTTCTCCTAGGATTCTATAGGACCTCCTTTCAGTTTCCACTGTGTAAAATTAAAATGCAAAAACCAACAGGCCCTGACCAGATTTTGTCTGACTGGAAATGAGCCTGGGCCTCCCAAAGTGCTGGAATTACAGGCTTGAGCCACCGCACCCGGCCTGCATTCATTATATAGATAAAGATCATTCTTATATTATAAATAATTTGCAAATTTCACAGAATGAAGTTCACTATTTTTTGTACAAAATATTTATTGCGACAATGTAGAGAAAAATGAAATATTCCTATTGTAAATCACAGATGATAAGTGGGTATAATATCCTCATTGATTCTATTTGTTATGTTACAACCTGTATATTATTCAGAAAGAGAAAATGGGAAAAAAAACTGTTGTAGGTAGAATTCATTTTTCTGGAAAATGTATAATATGATAAATCTTCCTCAGTGTTCAATACTAAGGTATCTAAGATAACTCCTCTTTTAGATGGCTAGGAACAGATATTCTTGAAACAAGAGCAAATAATCTATTTTATTTTCCTATTTCCCATCAGCTTTCAGTTGATATTGCCACAAATAAATTTTGTTTGAATGTGTTTTACTTTTTGTTAATTGTTATAAAGTATCACAATGTTCATTATTATGTTTTACAGACAGAGGATTTATCGTGAATATTCTCAGTTTCTGACTTTATTTCAAGGGTGTCATCCAGTTGAGTAGAAAGTCGAGGAGCAAGAAGAAAAACTGGCTGTTGTTATCCAGCTTGGTTTGGTCATGAATCTGTTGTAACAAAGTCTCTAGCAGAACTGGAGTGCCTGCCTGGGCACATCTTGGATCCACAGAGTGAGCCAGGTTCCTTTTCCTGTGTGTGGCTATGGGGTCTGGTCCTGACCACTGTCCGTCAGAACAGGACAGGCACACACCACACCTGCTAGGGCCTGGGTTTCTCCTTCTTCTCCAAGTTGGGATTCCTGCATTTCCACGTGCCAGAAATTGGCTGATACAACAGAGGGACACATGGTTTCATCAAAAGAAGTCCAGGGGGAGTTTGGCTCTGGGCACAGTTAGATGGGGGTGGGGAAGATTGCCCAGGCAGTGTGGTGTGGGCTCCGGCTCCGTGTCTTCGTGGGATTTCTCTGTTCAGCAAGCAAGATGGTGTTTTGTCATCCCAGGATCACTCCCACTTTAGTAATCCCTGTGGACTACGGCGATCTCTCTCAGGAGCTCTGGCCGGAAGGTCCTCTGCAGGACTCTCACTCAACTCGTTGGGATCCTTGCTCATTCCAGAACCTGTTGGGGTGATCAGGCTTGTTTAGTCTTAATGGACACCCTGTGTGAGCCTGCCTTTCTCTGTGGGGGATGGAGGTCGACTCCACCTGTGGACGACACAGCGACGGTGGCTGCACTTCCTTTTCGTCCTTGCCTGTGTTGTGACATCGTCACACCTTTCTTATCCAAGAACAAAGGGACTGTTCATATAAAAAATCATGGGGGTTGGTTTATCAGCTCCATTTTGGAAACGGTAAGCTTCCGGTGCTTATAAAACACCCAAGGGGAGATGTCGAGTCGGCCCCTGGGTCTATGGGTTGCAAGTTCAGGAGAAAGACATGGGCGGAGGACACGGGCAGGAATGAGCAGAATACATGTGGCATTTAGTGAGTGAGGTGGGAGGAGATCGCCTAGGGAGTGATCACGAATACAAAGGAGAAGTCCAAGGGCTGATCCTGGGGTGCCTCGATGCCTTGAGCTCCTGCAGAGTAGGGAGACCAGTAAGGGAACCTGAGAATGAGCGACCCGACATGCGGGACACAGGTCTTATGCTGCTGTGAGGCCAAGTGAGGAGGAACCAGCGTATGGAGGTCACTGGTGTCTTCAGTGAGAGTGGTGTGGAGGAATGGTGGGTGTGACAGACTGATCGGAAAGAACAAGAAAGGAAGAGGAAGAAAACAGTGGGGTGGTGACCTGAGGAGAAAGGGAGTAGCTAGAGGTTTCTGTGTTTGGGGTTTTAGATATTGGAGAAGAACCAGTTTGAATGTGTACTGATGGTAAAAACATACAGAGAAAACTTGCAAATGGTGTGAGGAGTGAGGGAAACTGCCAAACAATGTTTCTGAGGAGTGATGGGCTCCATTAGACAGGCGAGGAAGTTGGCCTTGGGAAGGAATATGAGTTCATGCGTTAACAACAGGAGAGAAGGCATGTGAGCCCAGACGGACAAAGGCGGTGGAAGATGTGGCATTGGGAGGCTGGACATTCTCTGGATTGCTTCTGTCTCCGTAGTGAGAGAGGAAGGCCATCAGCTCGAGGAAGGGTGGGGAGACGGACCGAGAAGAAGGCATGAAATTGTTTCCGAGTGTGAGCCGGTGAACGGACTAGAGAGTTTCATTGCCAAGCAGCATCAGGGGTCCGAATGAGGTGAGTGTCTTAGCCCTCATGAATTTAAGATGAGACCTGTTGGCCTGGTTGTGACAGAGCAGGTAAAGAGCTGGGTTTTCCCGAGTTGGGGTTCAGCCAAGCGGGTCGACAGAGGGAGAGGGGGCAGGTGGAGCGTGTGCGTCAGGACGGCGGGTGACGCATGGCCCTGGGGCTGAAGCTGGACAGGGAAAGTGAGGACGTGCGTGGCGGGGGTGTTGGGCAGTGGAAAACGCCCATTCAGTGGGTGGCAGGTGCTGGCGTATGACTCAGCAGGGATGCAGTCCCAAAGCGAGTAACCCCCAAAGGCAGGAGGCAGAGGCTGGATGTTGGGGGAGATGGAGGAGCAGCATAGTGTGGTGGACAAAGGCCTGGACTCTAGAACCACAGTTTGTGGCCCAACCCTGGCCCTGACAGTTGCCGGCTGTGAAACCATGAGCAAATTGTGTTTGTGCCTCAACTCCCTTTACTATATTGGGGGCATGATAAGAGCACCTACCTCAGAGCTGTTTTGAGCACCAAATGATTTTTTATATGTAGTACGGTATTTTAAATGGTTCAGTCAGAAACTAACACGTGGTTGCTATATAAGACTTTGCTATTATTAATGTTACATGGATGTTATAGTTACTAGGAGTGTCAAAATCTAACATGTGACTGTGGGAGTGAGTGGCTTACATCGTCAAGGTCATTGGTGAAGGAACAGAAAGGAACCGAAAGACTAGCATTGGAAAGATTGTATGTGTGGGTTTTGAAAGCATTAAGAATAAAAACATATTTCTAGAATATTATTATTTGAGAAAATTTTCTATTTAAGGAACGAGTGATATGCTTATGAGTTGTTTTTCATATTATTATAACACAAGTTTTATAAACTTGGTCATAGTATTTGTTAATAGAGAAAATATTTTTAAATGTTTAGTTCAAAACAATTATCTTTAAGTTAGCATAGAATTTTTTTTTGTTAAATTTTAAGTTTTATCCAAGTTGTTATTACAACATTTTCTTTGTATATCTGTAGAACATATTAAAACAGTAACAAAAAGCTTATCAACAATCTGAAATTGTCCAGAGTGACATCATTTTAAGAGTTAAATGAGAAATTTTAAAGGTAGTTTGTATTTGGTAACATAATTCTCATAAAACATAATGTTTACATTGAAGATGAAAATATTGTTTTTATTTCCAAAGTTATGCTTAAATGCTTTGATTATATTTTTTAAATTTTTAAGCATTTTTCATTTTTATATGATTGGTCCAGTTTTAACATAAGTACTAAATATATTTTTACTTTTAGTGTTCATTTATGATTATGGGTGTTACTCAGAAGAGGAAACAGTAAACTGACAGTTCTGCCTGAAAATATGCACACTGTACAGGAAATTCATGCTTTATTAGCAGTCTAATCTTGGTCCTTTGTTCCACAATCAGTTTTTTAGCAAACTATTGCTAGATGAAAGTAGGAAGTCTGTATGTACATCATTTCTAGATGTCTTTTAATTGTCTTTCTACTGTCAGTGTTTCTTAAAAAGCAAGTATCAAAATGTAATGGACTTTTTTCTTTTCTTTTTTCTTTTTTTTTGAGTCAGGGTCTCACTCTGTCGCCCAGGCTGGAATGCATTGACACAATCATGGCTCACTGCCACTTCGTCCTCCTGGTCTCAGGCAATCTTTCCACCGCAGACTTCTGAGTAGCTGGAACTACAAGCACACACCACCATGCCTGGTTTTTTTACAAAAAAATTTTGTAGAGATGAGGTCTTTGTTGTTGCTTCTGCCCAGACTGTTCTCAAACTCCTGGGCTCTAGCAATCCTCCTGCCTCAGCCTTCCAGAGTGCTGGGATTGCAGGCGTGAGCACCACATCCGGGTTAGAACAAATATTTCTTTTTACTTTAAATTCATTTGTTTATTTTCTGAGTCCATGGCATATTTGCTTTCAGTTTAACTGAAGAGGCTACAAGTTGCCTTACATGCCAATCTACTGCCACATTTGACTTTTGCAAGTTGTCCTTAGCGACACGGACCTCTTTTTCAATCAGGAATCTACTTATTTAGGGTTTGATGGGATACTATACCTTCCCTTTTCCAAAATTGGGGTGTTTTTAAAGCAATATTGTTCAAATTCATTTTAAAATTCCACTCTTCTAAACTAATTGGAATGGTGCAGAAAAGCTAGTTTAAAACTGATTATTCTTTAAATTACTTTTCTATTATATATATGAATATATGTATTATGTATACATTTAAGCGGTTATTTTTAAAGTGTTTCTAAACAGAGGGGGTGTTGTTCTAATGTTCCCCGAGAAACATTTACTAACAGGTATGCATGTCTGAGAAATGAGTTCTTCTAAATGTTAGTGCAAAATGTTACCACTTAGAGTAGGTAGTAATTAATATTAATTACTTTATTCTCTGTATTTTCTTATCCTTTCCATCCAGTTTGCTTTCACGGTCTTGGCAGTTTCACCTCTGCAATGATACTTTAGGCTTTTCTTTGTTTTGTTTCTGTTTTTTTACATTCCCACTGCTGGTGTCCTAGACCATGACCTCATCCTCCTTTGTATGTACTATTAGTCTCTTTTCTGAGTTCTCTCATCTCTGATTCATCCTTCATAGGTCTGCAGTGCCATCTTCCTAGGGCATAGCCCTCCCCTCTTCCCAAGCTGTCAGTAGATTCTCCTAACTTGGTAGCTATTTGGAAACTCCTCTCCCCTGACCCTAAAGCTTCATTTGCTGTGTTTTTTCCTTTCCTCCCACCCTTCCAGGTTGACAGCCTTCTCTAAAGTAGCTCAGCATTACTTCCACGCTAAAATGTACGTATGATTTTCCCCATGATACTTTTAACTCATTTTTTAACCTACTGAAATCTCATTCTGTTGCCCACTAAGTAAATACTGATTTCCATTTTCCACTGTCATCCCAGTAAGTCACCCTTCCATTCCTCTTATGCAATTTCTGTGTGATTTCTATTCATGTATTTCCTCAAGTCACAAGGATATGAAAGAGATCATATATTCTTTTTATCCCTCCATAGCACTTGACACACTACATTTTATATAATGTACACAATTTCACTGTTTGTTGAAAGAAGAATAAAGATTTAAATCACACTGGATTTTTCATAAGTTGATGAGTTCGTACCACCGATCTCTTTACTCCTTCTGTGTAAATAATGTTACCTGGACTATTAAGAACAAGAGATGCCAGGCTCGGTGGCCCAGCCTGTAATCCCGCGCCTTTGGGAGGCTGAGGTGAGTGGATGGCCTGAGCCCGTGGGTTCAATTCCCGCCTGGGCAACTTGGCGAGACCTCATCTCTACAATAAATCAAAAATCAGCCGGGTATGGTAGCACATGCCTGTAATTCCGGCTACTCGGAAGGCTGAGGCTGAAAGATCGCCAGAGCCCAGTGGGTCGAGGCTGCAGTGGCCGGGAGCGACCACTGCACTCCAGTCTGGGTGACAGGGTGAGACTCCAACTCAAAAAATAAAAAATAAAAAATAAATAAATAATAGATGGTTTACTACCTGGCGTTTGGAAGCTTATTAATGGATTTCAGAATTATGACTGATATGAAACTTCCAGTCTTTCTTTTGTTGCTTTATCTTAACTTTAACAGTTCATTATCCCATTGCTTTGAGCAAGCTGCAGTATCCTTATATCTCCTATAATAAGAGTTGACTCAAATCACACATTTCTTTGTTTCTTAAATGAGTATCTGGGCATTCATGTAGTACTTGGAATATTTTTTATGGAACAAATGACCAAAATTTGATTCTTTTTTTTTTTTTGTTTTTTGTTTTGAGTCAGAGTCTCACTGTCGCCCAGGCTGGAGTGCAATGGCACACTCATGGTCACCGCAGCCTCAATCTGCTGGGCTCTGCCAATCCTTTCGCCTCAACCTTCCAAGTAGCTGGAACTACAGGCACACACTACCATGCCTGGCTAATTTTTTTTTTATTTACTGTAGAGACATGGTCTCACCAAGTTGCCCAGGCTGGTCTTGAACCCACAGGCTCAGCAATCCACTCGCCTTGGCCTCCCAAAGTGCTGGGGTTACAGACTGAGTCACTGAGCCCGGCCCCAAAATTAGATTCTTAGATATCACTTCTTTTGACATGTAATTGTACTTTTTTTGTTTTTGTTTTTGAGGAGGAGCCTTACTCTGTCATCCAGGCTGGAGTGCAGTGGCACACTCATGGCCACTGTAGCCTTGACCTGCTGGATCCTTCTGACTTGACCTCCCATGAAGCTGGAACTACAGGTGTCTGCCACCATGCTCAGTTAATTTTTTAAAATTTATTGTAGCAATGAGATCTTGCCAAGTTGCCCAGGCTGGGCAATTCTCTCACCTCTGTCTCCCAAAGGGCTGGGATTACAGGCATGAGCCACCATGCCCAGCTCTATAGTTCTAACTTGATGAAAAGTGGTGGTTTATAACTAAACTAAGCTTTTTGTTTTATAGTTTGGAAGACCTAGAAACAAATCACAGAATTCTTTCTATTGGTGAACAAAGCGAACTTAGAAACGAAATGACCATGTTGCTAACAAAACTTATAAAGGAAACTGTAGGTAGTGTTTATTTAAAACTGAAAACTTGGTGACTCAACCTGTAATCCCAGCACTTTGGGAGACTGAGGCGCGTGTATTGCCTGAGCCCTTGGATTCGAGACCAGTCCGGGCAACTTGGCAAAACTTCATCTCTACAATAAATCAAAAATTAGCCAGGCATGGTAGCATGCACCTGTGGTTCCAGCTGCTTGGAAGGCTGAGGCAACAGGATTGCCGGAGCCCAGCATGTTGACGCTGGGGTGGCCGTAGGTGTGCCACTGCACTCCAGCCTGGGCGACAGAGTGAGACTTTAACTCAAAATACAATACAGTAAAATAAAACTGAAAACTGAGGATTGATTTAAGCAGTAAAATATTTTATTTGCTGAACTCTGTGCAATAGTTACCTAAAGAGTCAACAAATGCTCACTATCTCTTTTATGTAACACCACCAGCAAGAGGTGGCTGGTCTTCAAGGCGTCTCCTACTCCTGTTGTTCTGATGACATTGTGAAGAATGAAGCTGAACCTCAGTGATCTGATGCAGCCATCAAATTAGCAACATGAAACCACTGTGGCCCGAACATTCTTGTTTAAATGGTTGCATCTCTTTGCTTGCATGCCCGATCCCCTTTCTGTTAAAACTCATGCATGTATGAGTTTTTCAGCTTTTGGGTAGTAATGGTCACTTTGTCTTCCTAGCACTTTCAATTTAACAATAAAGATGATTTAATTTTGCATTTGGCCTCAGTGGATCTGTGTCAGTCTCAAATGGTATAAATCACAAGTATGGAAGGTTACATTGTTCTTCCTTAAGAAAAAAATTAAAGACAAAAATCTAACTTATGTACGCATTTATGTGTATACTTATTAAGTTACACAACCAATTTTCATGAAGGAAAATTTGAAAAGAAATATAGTCTAGAGCCTACAAGACTTAAAGCAACATAATTTCGTGCCCTGGAATACATTAAACTAAAAATCATTAAGACCACTGAACAAGACATATGGATATCAGCTGTGAGACATAGATTTGTGAATATCTTATTTTCACAAGAAATCAAAATGTTATTTAATTGACTTTGGTCCATTATTAAATGACACCTGCCTTAGCAGGTTGATTAAAAGTGTTTCATAACCATCTGTTACACTTAATTCACATGTGGTTTAAATATTTCACACCTTTCTATAGAGATAAATTACCTACAAAGTTTTTTCAAGTGTAATATTCATTAGTAGATGCAAAGTTGATTGCATATTCATCTAAGAACAATAATTTGTAAACCTCATCTTTTATTGTAATTTTATTGCACATAACATGACCTCTTTCATTGGAAATTTGATTTAATAAGCATGAGACTGTTTCAAATTTGGTTGGAATAAGTCAGTTAAATTCATTCTTTTGCTGAATTACCGCAATTGCTTTCAAGCCATTCAAAACAAAAAAACACCCCCATTTGGAGGAGGGGGACTTTCTCCTGTATGTAATTTTCCTATCTGTATTTGCATATTTAGCATTTCAATTCTGGTCCCTTATCCTTCACTTTATTCTAAAATTTTCTAAATTTTTTAGAAAAATACATTCATTCGATTTTTCTAAGTGTTGTCTTATAAAGGTTGAAGTGAGTCCTTCACCATAAATGAATATTTGATATTCAGGGTCCGTTAACTTCCTAGTATTTGCATTTGTGTAAATATTTTCCCTTTAATCCAAAGTATGTGTTGGCATATATGTCTTTAGTACTATTTCAAGTTTCTAGGAAGGTCCTCATTTGAGAAGTTTTCCCAATAGGTTCGAGATTAAAGAAATACTTCAGCATATCCTCTGAAGTATCCTCTTAAATTCTCACGAGTATCTTCTTTTCCTTTTAAGGAACATAAACTCTCACTCTTCATATCTCTTTTACTTGCTTTAGACAGATGTACATGTTCATTAACCTGTGTATTTTATCATTATTCCCCTATGGCGCATATGGGCTTAATCTATGTGTGGGAATTCATCTCTGGGTCTATAACCTTAACTTATGTCAGTCTCACAGTTTCTGTGGGGCACAACTACTGACATCCTGACTTGCTCTGAAGGCCACAGGGATAACCCTCCCATGGAATGAGGTGTTTCCAGCCTTTTTGTGTGAGGACGAATTTATTTATACCAGGAGTCATCAGTTAAAGGAACTTCTTACCATCAATTATGTGAGGCCTTACCAGAGACACACTCAGATATGGGGGTGTGAAGGCAAGAAAGCTTTGCAAACACATCACACTGCATGGGAGGAGCTGAGGGAGAGTGGTTGATAGCACATGGCCTCAAGGAGTATTTAGATGAGAGCTGCACTCTTCATACTTTCACGGGCCCCAGGGTTACATGGAGGTAGCCCAGTGCCACAGATGCTGGACTCCAGTTTTACGAATGTGCTGATGTTTTATAGTCGCGACCAACCAACAAGTATCAAGGATATTTATTCTATGCAAATTTACTGTCGATGACAACAAACACTTGGATTGCCAGCTTCATATTTTGTGCAGGTTAAATAAAGCTTATCTGACCAAATTGTAAACTGTCAGAATCACTGCTTAGGAGGAACTTAACCCAGCCCTGATGTCTGTGCACATATCCCTTGACTGCACTCAGTACAAATGCTCTGAGATGTAAACTGAATCAGGCAGCACGTTGCATTGTTTCCCTTCCTGATATTTTATTTATAGATTAATAACCAGTGTTGGCCAACATCAGGAAAGCAATATTCTCATACACTACTGATAAATTTTAAATCCTTTTTGAAGGGTAGTTGAGTTCTATGTTTAAAAACTTCAAGTAGGCTGGGCTCGGTGGCTCAGCCTGTAATCCCAGCACTTTGGGAGGCCGAGGTAAATGGATTGCCTGAGCCCGCAGGTTCGAAGGTTTGAGACCATCCCGGGCAAATTGGCAAGACCTCGTCTCTACAATCACTCAAAAATTTGCAGGGTGTGCCGGTGTGCACCTGTAGTTCCAGCTACTTGGAAGGCTGAGGCAGAAGGATTGCCTGAGCCCAGCAAGTCAACTCTGGGGTGGCTGTGAGTGTGTCATTGCATTCCAGCCTGGGTGATGGAGTGAGACTCCAACTCAAAAACAAAATAAAACAAAAACTTCAAGTTTGCCATTCCTTTAATCTAGCAGCTTCACTTGTGAAACTAGATCCTCCAGGAAAACCCAAGTACATACATGTTAAGGACATTAACTATGTATCATCTATAACTTACAATAGGCCTGCATATACATATAACATAAGGTTATGTGATATGTTTATATTAAAGATATTTATATCCATATGCTACATATATGTTAAATTTTATTATAGAATTGTAATTTCAAAAAATTGGAGATAGTCTAAATATCCATCAGTAGAAACTAATTCATGTCATAGCCATAAAAAAGTATATGATACCATTTAAACATTAGGATAGATTTATAGTGTACTGAGTAGTTTACAAGTAAAGTAAATCTAAGCATTTAGTTTGATGACCCATCTTAAGGAAATTGTGTTAGAATATGTGTAATTTTTTTTCTAATACATATTTTTAATTTTAAAATTGTGGGGTACAGTTAAGGGTTAGGTATACAAATATGCACTGAGCAGGTACCCTTCTTGATGAGGTATGCCCCTGCCCATCCCCAGGCAGATATTGACTACCGTTAATCCCACCTCCCTTTCTCTCCCTGACCCCCCATAGTTTTCCGCCACCGTCAATCCTTTTCTTATAGGAATACTTGTAATATTTCACGAGTTGCCAAAGAAAGCTTTACGGTACAGTGACACTCCACCTTGTTGCCCCAAAAATTCCTGTTTCTTAAATTTGTGTTTTTATTCTCAGTGCATGCATGTGTTCTCCGTGTTCCCATGTTGGCTCCTCAAATTAATCTGAATCTTGCCATGAATACATGGAACCATATTTATATAAACATTTTAGTATGTTGGGTAAAACTTATTTACATACAGCAGAAGTTCTGTGACCTAATAAAGAAGGTGTTGGCCAAGTTTTTCTGTAAAGAACCAGGTATTTTAGGCCTTGTTGACCCTAGGCCACCAACTGTTATTGTTGTAGTCCAAAATTTTTGATAGACACCACATGACTATTGTACAATCCATGCCTGTGTTCCAATAAAACTTGACTAATGAAGACGTGGGCTGGATTTGGCCTAATGTCTTCAGCTCTTGACTTATCTTCGCCGTGTTGTAAGCTTTTGGAAAGGTAAAATGCTAAGTATAGCTTTAGCTGCATCCTACAAGTTTGGTACTTGCTGTTTTTTATCATGGCTTATTTAGAGGAAGTTTCCAGCTCTGTTAATTTTATTTTCATTTTACTGTTTTTTGTTTGTTTGTTTTAGCCAAATTGGAGTGCAGTGGCACTACCACAGCTCACCTCAGCCTGGCCTCCTGGGCTCAGAGGATCCTGTGCCCGGCAAAATTATTTACTTATTCATTATTACTTAAAACCATTTTTTTTTTGGCAGAGACAAGGTCCGTCTCCAAGGTTGCCCAGGCTGGCCTAGCACTCCTGAACCCAAGCACTCCTTTTGCCTCCGCCTCCCAAAGGGCTGGGGTTACCGGCGTGAGCCACCGTGCCAGACCCGCGTTTCTGGCTTTTATCACCATCTGTTCTCTGACCCAAAGCCGAGCGTTGGGGGCGTGTTGGTCGATGCTTTCCCCGTGGCTGCCTTGTTCCTGACTCCCAGCTTGGCTGTCCTGCGGTCAGGGCGCCTGCTCGGCCTGACTCGAGCTGTCCGGCGTTTCCTGGCGCTGGCCCGCCGTCTGGCGACCGTTTCCAAAGCCCCCGGGACTCGAAAGGGCGGGCGGGG